CTCTAATGTAGTCTGTTTTATAGCTTATTTCGACGTTTATTCTCAGCGTCCGGAAAGTTCTAGGTAAACCACTGACAGTCACAGACACGACGCGAATGTCCCAAATCCCACGACAAGAACTCGCGCTGAAACCAAGCACTCGCTCCTCTTATAGATCTAAGGGGACGTCTTCATTGACGGAGGCCTTCCATCGCTTCGGGTTCTTCTCGCAGCCGTCTTTGTCAATTTTGTTTCTTGGGATTCCCTCGTTCTTTGTATAATCGGGGTCTTCGACTTACCGCCGTCCGTCCGTAGCCATTTGTTAGACGATCTGTTGCCTACTTCTTTTTAGGGGCGAAGCTCCTTAGGGCGTGGGCTGTGCGTCCCCTGTAGCCTGTATGTAGCCACCTCTAGTTTAGTTCTTGCAGTGTTCACTAGATGGCGGTACCGTCCCCTGTATGTAGCCACCTCTAGTTTAGTTCTTCCAGTGTTCACTAGATGGCGGTACCGTCTCCTGTATGTAGCCACCTCTTGTTTAGTTCTTGTAGTGTTTGCTAGATGGTGGTACTTGTAGCTTATGATGAAAAGATGCAAGATGTTATAAACTAGAAAGCGGTACTTGTAGTTGATGAAAGACGCGAGATCTTATACAGGAACCGCTCTCCCTTCACTTCACAGACCATAAAGCCGTCATAATGAAGGGACATCGCAAGCCATCCATCGTCTAAGAACAAATAAAAGTTGATTTGTGTATATACACACACAGCGTTTCTCACGTCTTTACATGATGATCGACGTTGCGAATTACACGGAAGATTCACAGTTTACCGATGAATCCCTCCGGAGCTTCGCCCGTTCATCATCATTCACCCCGTGAATATGCCGTAATTTTTTTTTGGTGAACCAGTGGTATATAGTGGGATCTAACTGATTTCTGTAGAACATGCCTATTTATGAGCGTTAGTTATGTTTCACACGAAAAAAGGTATTTGTCGCGCATCTTCGCTGTTATTAACGAATGACCAATAGCAGGCGTTTCGGTTTATTTCACGGGCGCGGAGAGTCTGACTTCCCATCTTACGCTCAGCGCGAGAACACAACAGCCTCGATCTTGTTATCATTCGTACTGTGCAATTCAGTAAAGAAACTCGACTTGAAACGCCCCTCTTTCGTCTGGCTATACCTGCTCCACCATCCTAAAAAGGATATACTGCACACAGACGGGGACAACTTCAAGGAACAAGAAACAGCGCTGATGTTGTTCTGCGATCGGCACTCGCCGGCGAGCGATGAAACCATTCGAGATGTAATACGGACTATAGCCCACCAAACCAGCCTCGTATTCATTCTACCATTGACTGCATTCTTTGAAACCAACAATTCCATTTCTGAGAGATTGTGTGAACTTCTCAGCCACATAATGACAGCGATTCACCTTGCCATTCTCAGAGCCTTTTCATAATAAATTTATAAAACTAGCTTTTCTGCCGTAGAAACGGAGACCCTTGATGACATCTGTTTTCGTTTGCCAACGTGCCGTGATAGCATAGGTGGACAAGGAGAGCTTTATAAAAAGCCTGCCAATATTCTACACTTTTCTACCCGCATTTGACGAAATAGATTCTGATAAATGTTCCTTTTAGCTACATAAAAATAACAAGAAATTACGTTGAACTTCACATACGTTCCTTTCATTTGAAAAACTAAAGAGAGACGTTTCTTATCCTCGAAAAAAAAACATGAATACATGTTTTTAGTTCGGTGTTAGAGGTTGATAAATGAGGTGATCGGAAGTTTTTCGGTGTACAACGCTTGCAGTCTTGAAACCGTCTATAGTGGAACACAACATAAAAATAAGTACAGGCTCCTCCCGCAGTACTGCAGCATGCTTGTCATTCATCTGTACGACAAAACAATGATTGGTGATTTACGTTCTAACAATAAGCACATTTTTGATGGTAATACGTTTACTGCGCATTTTATGTGTAGTATTTAGTCATTCCTTGTTAAAGCGTTACGTTTCCCACAGGAGAAAAGTCGGAATTTTTATCGAAATCAGCCAGGAAGTAAAATTTTTTGACCGAAAACTAGCGAAATGAACAAGAGCCTGTATGGGCAGGTAACATGCCTGAATTCCGTGAAATCTGCTTAACGTCAAGTAGATAAGTGACTGCAATTCAGTAGCCCATTGATCCTGGGGATCACTTTACGCAACGTAAATAACCGAAATAACCATGTATGCCAACATAATCATGTATATTAGAGCAAATAACTTCACTGTAACGTAGTTATGTTAGTCGTGAAATATAGATGTGCAGAAGTGTATGTGCCCTGTTACTGGAATGGTATGAAGCCTTTGTGTTCTGTACATGCTGTAAATAAACTTTTTCTAAACAAATAACCGATTGTAATTCCGTGGGATCCCCACGAGACGGCTTCATGCTCTCTCATAGTAGAGTACCTAGTGCTATAAATCGTTAACCACTTTTTTCAAACACACGTTTATTTTTAGGCTGTAATCGACTACAGTAACTTACGTCAAAGGCACTTGGCCACTTGGCCCTTCTACCTTCCGGAAGACCACGTGCTACGTTTTCAGACGTCATAGCCAAGCACCTAAACAGCATTCCATCAGGATATACGCCAGCTGCGAGAACGGCATGCCCTTTGTGGTGCCTCGACCAGCCGCAAGTACGTCTAGAAATTCCGGGAATCAAAAATAAAAGCAGTCACTCTAGAGTAGCATTGAAGCAAGCAACACTGCTATTATTACATGAGTTGTACTTAGACCGAACGCAGATATACACTGATGGGTCCGTCTCATCCAGCAGCTCATCAGGTGCCGCAGTAATTCCGGCTGCAGAAATGACAATCAAGTGTAAGTTGTCGCATATGACTACATCTACGGCATCAGAGCTTGCTGCTATAAGGGCTGCTTTACAATATCTCGTTCAAGAACGTCCAGGAAAATGGGTCATATTCTGTGATTCGAAGGCAGCGCTTCAGAGTTTGCAGGCTGCCATGCGTAGGAGGAGCCATGACCAACTGGTACAAGAAATAAGACATTGCCATCATGAAGCTCTAGCACGAGGGCATGATATTATATATCAATGGCTGCCTGGACATATCGGTATTACCGGAAATCAATTAGCCGATGATGCAGCCCGCTCAGCCCATGAAGAAACCCGTGTAGTCCCGATTCCTCTATCAAGGAATGATGCAGCAAGACAACTTTACCTGCTGGCTCGAGATCTCACACGCACGTTCTGGTCGTCTACCAGCTTCCAAAGGTGTCAATTTTATGAACTGGATCCTTCGCTCAAGCTAAAGCTACCATCACAACTTTCCCGCACCGATGCGACACTGTTATGCCGCCTTTGGTTGGGTGTTGCATTCACAAAGGTGTACTCCTTTCGCATTGGTATGGCAGACACTCCTACATGCGACTACTGCGGAGATGAAGAGACCATCGAACACGTCCTGTGCAGCTGCGCTTGCTACGACACACAGCGATGCCAGCTACGGATGGTTTTGAATCGACTTGACTCCGGACCATTTTGTGTGCAGAAGATACTAGGACCGTGGGCATCTGCCTCAGTTGCGCAGAAAGCAACTAAAGCACTGCTACTGTACCTTAAGTCAACAAACCTGAGCGACCGCCTGTAAACTGTGTGTGCTCCCCGAGTGTGCTCGTGATTATGTGTACCTTCTCATCTTTCTGCAACCTCTTTTCTCCCCTTTATCCCTTCCCCAGTGCAGGGTAGCAAACCGGATTTGCGTCTGGTTAACCTCCCTGCCTTTCCTTGTATCTTTATCTCTCTCTCTCTCTCTACGTCAAAGGCAAAAATAGAAGCACTACGTATTTCAGCACAGTGTGTGCTGTAACGTGGGAAATGTAATTGACCCTAATAATAACATCTGGGGATTCACATCACAAAATCATTATATGATTATGAGAGAAAGAGAGAGAGAGAGAGAATTAACTTTATTGAAGGTCTAGAAGGGGGCCGGGCACCTCTAATGGCCCGGTGGCTCCGCCCATGTGGGGACTGGGAGTGAGAGACGTCGAAAGGGAAGGCTCCAGAAATTTCGCCCTTAGAGTCCCTTACCATATAAGGGAATCTAAGGTCACATATGTTTCATACCAATGAAGAACTTCAAGCCTGTCCCCTAATATTAATTCTGTCTCCGCCCATGTGGGGACTGGGAGTGAGAGACGTCGTAGGGGAAGGCTCCAGAAATTTCGCCCTTAGATTCCCTTACAATATAAGGGAATCTAAGGTCGCATATGTTTCATACCAATGAAGAACATTAAGCAAGCCTGTCCCTAGTATTATTTCGCATGTTTTTATTGTATAGTTTGTTGTTTGTGATGCTTATACCGGCCCTGTAATAGCCTAGTTAAGGCTGTAGTGTGCATAAATATATAAATGAATAAATTATAAAATAAATAATATTCATGTGATATAGATCTCTTATGTTCTAAAACGCTTCGCATCAAAACGGAAAAGCCCTCTGGACAGTATTGAAGAAAAATATATGAGGGTTTCCCCCAAAAGGGCGTCGAAAAGATAGTCTCTTCAGAAGGACCGCGGACACTGAGCAGCAATGTACTTTGCATTTTTTTAACATTTCTGTTATTCGCCGGCTCAAGTCACACATTGTGAATTACACGGTCCACGCAAACTGAGGCTAAGGCGGAACCATCGCCAGTCACGTCAGCCAACCTAACCTAAACTGTAACATCATCACCACTTCCATCTCGTATCGCTCTTTGTTCTGTCGACTACGCCGCATCTCTCTACGTTGATTTTCTCCGTAGTTTCGGCGGTGATAGATTGCATCGCACACGGGCACTTGCATGGCAATATCTGCAAAAGATAGGCCACAGGGCCACGAGCCAACGGCGAGTCTGATAACTGCCCTTCTCTCGAAGTCGCTATGCAATCAACGCCGCTCGTACACACCGCCTCGCAGTGCTCTGTAGCAGATAAGAAGGAACTTATCGGTCGACCCATAAACACGAGCGGACGTGCGAAATGTTGTACGGATATGCTTGCAGGTGAGGTACGTCAGAGCTTCGTAACGCCGGACCGTTTCAGCTACGTTCGACGAGCCGCTCCATGGTAGGTGCCTGTCATGTCATCGACTTAAAGCAGACGTATAATGGCATGGTAGTCGGGATATAGCTGTCGTGATATTCATAAGAATGCGTAAGGAATCCACTTGTCCTTCGACAAAAGCTTTATCTTTTTTTTCGCGGACGTCCAAAGAAAAACAGAACCTTTCACACCTACACGTGTCTAGAGCTTCAAATGTAGAAGGGTAAGTGGAGGAAGGTCGGTTGTTGTGAATATTAACGCCGCATTTTCTGTACGTTATCTCTTCTAATTTTAATATTATGACCACTCGGGCGTTCAGTATTAAAGATATTGATATACTAACGTATATGAATGACAGATGAACAAAAAATATGAGCAAATGATTGAATGAGCAATTAAGCGTAGAAACATTAAAGTGAAATGAATATTCGCTACATAATGCACGCTTTCGCAGTACAAGCCTCGACAGATTACCCTCTTCGTGTCGCTGGTAATAGCTCAGAATCAATGCGAAGTTCTCTTAAACTCGGGCTTCTGTCAAACCTAATATCTACATTGCACACATTATCGGTCACCAAGCGTTGAGGATGTTGACGCCCTTGAATCGAAATTGAGGTCTATGAGACCTCAATCCTAATCAGGAGCGTCGTCATTTTTGTGCGTCAACACTAAGTATGCTGAATATTTTTTTTTATGTTTACACAGTCTTCGCGTCCAGTGGTCGTACAAAAATTTGTACAGCGTTTGTTACGGGACCCTTTCGAACTTTTCATTTGTGACGGTTAGACCCGGGCTACGCCAACCGCCCAAAAAGGCGGCATTTTCGCATCCTTGAAACAATCTGTAAAGGTTTTCAAGTACAGAGGGCTACATTTCACCTACGTCAAATTCGCTTTACTCTTTTATACGTATGGGCCCTGAGCCAATCATTACAAGCCTCTTATTTGGTGTCGAATTCATGAAAATTCTTCATCACGGAGTGTGTATTCTTGAAACCTCAACCACCTTAGCATGTGCACCCCCATGTGAATCACGCCCATACACCTGCTAAAATTGGCTGTTGCAGTGTCATACCTTGCGTGCACATGTTGCATATGCCTCGAAGCATGCCACATGTGGAAGCTGGTCTTCGTTACAGCGAATCAACTAGTTATGTCACAGGATAACGCGCTTCGCTTAACACACAACATCGGCCTTACGAAGTACGTCTTATACAAGTATATACAGAAGATGTATCCAAAGTTCAAGTCAATGTCACAATTAAACAAAAAACAGATAACAACCATTCAATTTCAGATGCACAAGCTCGTATCCTGGCCATGTCTTTTCTTCCTGCTGTTGACTGCAGTGATAGACTTCGGAGACTGCCAGCTGTACCGGCGGCTTCGCCTGGTACCGCCGATGAACGCCACCGCATTTTGCCCTAACATGGCTGCTGCTGGTGCGGATGGTTTCATCAGGACCATCTGGTTTTTTCCCAATGGCAGCCGTGTCTTAAACGGTGACAGAACCGTCGTTGACGAATCCGTTGGCGTCCTAGACGTCATCGATCCCGCCAACGAAGACCTGGGCGTGTACAAGTGCGTGTCGCTCCGAGGTTCCAACACGGCTGATGCCAACGCTACCATGGCGTTCGTGGAGATCTACAGCGCCCAGAGGAGGTCATTGACGGAGAGGCTGTGGATCGGAGGTCTGGCGGCAATGTGCGTTCTCGTCGTAGTGTTCTTCGTGAGCCTGGTACTCAAATACCGGTACAGACAGCCGCCTATCGAGAAACGTGGAGGGGCCCCCGTGGGTGCGACATGCGGAGTAGTCAACAAGAGATTCGAGATCGAAGAGATGTCAACTGTTTTCTAAAAGGTCTCTAGTCTGACGTTCTCTGCTTAACCAACCAGGGCCGAGTCATAGTAGTGCCTGTGTGGCCAGCTCTGCCGGTGGGCCTCGAGGGTGACATTTTGGTGCTTATTTAATCACTTGTCAACTTAGGTGAACAACATGCTCTAAGGAAAAAAACAGTGCGTGTGACACTTTTTGGTGAGTCCTGACTTGTGACTATGTTATGAGTCCCGAGTGCTGACTTGTGCAATATATGACTCTTTTTACGCAGACAGGTTAACTCCCTTTTGGCCGCAAGTCTCTCAAGAGAGAGTTGTATAATATCCGCATAAAGCACACGTGTTTCTTCAAAAATAGTCATACAGGCGCAAGCCAGGACTCCCCCCAAAGAAACGGTCATAGGATTCTTTTTTTCATGCGCAGTTTAATCATACTGATGTCAACATGATCAGCTCTGCCGGTGGTTTTCATGTGTGATGTTTGGTGACAGTTTATTGGTTCGCTAGCTTATGTAGGTGAGAAAAGTAAAAAATAATACTCCTAGCGCTACTTAGTGATAGTATTTCTGATATTTTAATACTTCTTCTGTTACTCATCTATTTTTGTGTTCTTTATCATGCGCTACCTGTTTTTTTTTTTGCTTTTGCACTACGCTATACTTCACAAGGAATCTTTTTTTTTTTCGTTTGAACATTAGAACAATACCCATGCTCACAAAAACGTCCTAGGCAAAAAACAAATATCGCAAGGTAATATTTCTGCCAATCCTAATGCGTGACATATTGCTACGAAGCAATGTGCGAAGCCAGCTGACCAACGGGCAAAACGCACATACCAATGTGAAACATTACGAATACAATCCCGGAAAAACTTTCAAAGCGCATGGTTACGTCATTTGATTCAATTATTAACAGTGCAATATACATGGCGGAAATCAATGGGCAAAACGTTAAACATATACGGATGTTTATTATTAGCCGACAGGTGTATATTCCAAGCAACAATCGTGAGCACTGAATCGAATAGAAAGTGCAATGTAATCAGTTCCCACCGAATCACTTAAGCTTACAACGGATCACCCATAGCAAGAACCTTAGCGGGTCGAAATCTCCGTGGTACTCGTACGTAACGGGCCTTGTAGTCACGTGCAACCTACGCTGCACATCTCACGGCGCGCTTTCACTTCGGCCTATTGATGGCGCAGTAGCTGGCGCAGTTGGCCTTGCAACACATATTGTTGGCGCAGTCACCGTTACTGCTGCAACTCGGGAGAATCTTCAACAGTGCGCAGACATGCGGCTTTTGCACGGACGCAGGCAGGCATATCTTATCTGCAACACGAGACACGAAAGACAAGTTGCAATCCACTAGTCGTGTTTATAAGCTATTGGAATGTATAGCAGTAAATACACTCAGTAATGAATGTAACGTGCTTTAGTGCTTCAGAAACTGGAGCTTTTTTATGGTGTCACTTGAAGTTGACACAGCACGCAGGTGAAGATACCTGCCCAGAATCTTACGAACTCCTGTCGAGTCATGTACCCGTATCGTTTGACTAGGACCTAAATTAAACTAGTAGCGATAGCCATGGACAGTGTTTTAGGAAGTTACGCAAATATGTTTTTTTTAATCTTAGAACCCAGTGCTGCGGTTAGTTGAAATATGCAATTTGTGTCGTAATAAGCATTACTACCACTTAGACAATGCATTTGAGAAAGATTGCTACATACTACTGACTATGTGCCTTTTGTACTACTTAGTTATGACAATCGGCCAATCGATCAATTACTTTAGTTTGTATTATATCAGTGATGACTAATATTATCCCGAACAAAAACACCAGAACGAAACCAATTGGGCACACTCTGCACTAACTCGATTATTTCACGTAGTACAGTTACCTTCATATGTGAAATATTTGTTTCTGTTGTCCTCGTCGAGAACAGTTACACTTTAACAAGTGAAAGTGCTTGATCGTTCCAGTGTGCGGGGTATATCTGTGCTTGTGCTGCTACATAAAGAAAATGCCGACCCGTGACAATACTTCGTAAAAATGAGAAAGAAGTGTCAATTTCAGAAGATTCTAAAGTATATATTGATTACATAGCTGTTCATCATTCCATGTTTAATGCAGTCTCACACATGCAGAACAAGCGTAATACACGAGTACTTGTATACCAATAGTAACATCTCGGCCTACAACTAATGAAATGTTGTGTGTGTAGCACGTTATAAATATTAGTTGCGGTACTCAGCAACTGAGGCGCTTTAAATTAGCCTCTCATCTCCTAATGTCTTTAACTGCCTGCGTAGCTTTGGCCAGCTGTCAATAAGCCAGCTGCAACGGCAGCAAACAAACTTTTTGTGTTTTAATATTGACAATCTCATGCTTCGTATTGGTATTTAGCCCAATAAAACCGTCTGTCTGTTATTCACAAGATTTGTTACAGTGTTACTAACATTAAAAATGAGTGTTAATGCCCACTGACCCCCCACACTCACCTATTTGTAATCACAAGGCTCAGAAATGCAAAATATACTGTAATTTATCTCCGTATTACATTTCATTAGATCATTTCTTCATTAAATAAACTTGACTGAAAAATGGCGATTGCCTACTACTGACTTCCAGATTCACGTTGCTCTTCTAAGCATACAAGATTTTTTATCATGATAATTTATTGCTCAGAGACATGCACTCTCGTGCTCAAACTACTGCGGACAACACTACACAGTGTTGAAAGCGCTCAAAGCAAAAAAAAAAAGAGTTCTCTTCACAGCAATTCAGAAATGTGAAGTACATAATCTTCAGCTGTCGTGGTAAGAAACGAACCACAATAAGATAGGAACGACGAAAAAGGCCCCGCTGCGGTGGTCTAGTGGCTAAGGTACTCGGCTGCTGACCCGCACGTCGCGGGATCAAATCCCGGCTACGGCGGCTGTATTTCCGATCGAGGCGGAAATGATGTAGGCCAGTGTGCTCAGATTTGGGTGCACGTTAAAGAACCCCAGGTGGTCGAAATTTCCGGGGCCCTGCACTACTGCGTCTCTCACAATCATATCGTGGTTTTGGGACGTTAAATTCCACATATCATCAACCACGAAAAAGAAGTGTGCGCAGTACGATGATATTGACCCGGTTACATAAACGCATGCAAACAGGGAACGTGTTAACAACGTAGCCGGTTCACTGCATCACCGTAACAATTCTAAACGTGGCACGTACCAGCGAGTCTTAATATAACGGCATGGATAAGTGGCATTGATGGTTAAAAAAATTCCAGAATATTGTTCCATTGTTGTGTTCGCCCAGCTCTACACTCATCGAAGATCGTTGAAGTTTCTACCGCCACGTAACCCACCTGGAAAAGCGGACACAGTTCGGCAGACCGAGAAGGCAACGAGCAACAGAGTAAACCCTATCGAATTCATCGTGAATGACGCAAACATCTGTATTATAACGCGTGTGTGAGGCGTTAACATCACACGCCACTTGTTTGGAGGGCCTGCTGCGAACGCTCGTAATTAGCTCGTAGCTCCGCACGCTTTGATATTCAAAAGTACAACTCAGGTCTTTATTGTCCTGGATTCTTGCTCAATACTCTCCCTTCCCTTTCTCTGATTTGACAACCAAGCTACCAACCGTATATTCCTACAATCTTTAGGTGAGGTGGTCTGCTTAGCGCCGAATCTTAAGAAAAGAACAGCCACCAACGCAGCTTCTCAAGAGTCACGACATCTTTTTTAAACGAAGTTATGTATACTATACTTCGCTTCGAACATCAGGTGCAACTCTCTAAAAGTTACGCAAGAAGTTTAATACGCAAAACGTATCACTTAATACGCAAAACGTATTTGTTAGTATTTATTCCTAGCGATCGCTTCGTTTGCACTGTATTAGCTTCACTTTTTAATTCCATTTTCTGTGTAATTCAATGTCAATTATTCACTATGTTACTGCATACCATAATGTCCTCTCCTCCTATTACTTTGTACGCAAATTCACGCTTCTTTTACGCGATCCTGCTCCTGTTTTTTTATTTTTTCTTAGTGTATTTTATACCAAGAGGTCTCATTGCAATGTTTACACTAAGGGACCTCTTTCTGTACACTTCTACCTATATGTAACTCCCCACCCAATTACGCTTAATAAACTGAAGCAAACTGAAACTCCGCGCGTATCACTCCAAGCACGAGCCTCCACATGGCGCTTCGCGACACTTCAAGACGAAACACCAAGGAACCTTGTTTCAGAAAACAAGACGACGCCAACCGATCCAGCCCTGTAGTAACAACCGCACGACGGGAGTTTGTTAGTTCAAAGATGCAAAACGTGCTCGTTTAGTACTGGGCCCAAGAACGAAATAAACAATTTATTTTGGCAAGTAACAACGTTGAACTATTTGTAAGTGCGTACGCATCAACTGCAAAACGTCTCGCTAGTCTCTACAGTGTTGCACCTGATTATGTGTGAAACGGAGTATAGACAAAAGCGAAATTTGTGTGTCCTATGAAGGCAAAAAAAAAAAAAACTACACCATGCCTGCGAGAAACGCACAAAAAATCGCCTTTCTGTAGGGCCCATTCTTAAAGCCTCTTGGGGCAAGTACTACAATCACACTTCTATGTTACCACTACGCCATAAATCAAAATTTTATTATTCGAAAAAGCGTGGTACCCGGTGACACACCCATTACATACTCGTATATAATTATGTGCTCTTCGTTAGTACTGTGACTGGCGACGATGAGGAATTAGGCCTAAGACTTTTCTAGTCGGTTGGACCGTTAACAATCCAATCGTTGCGCAATTAGCATTGTGTAACGGCTGGCTATTTCAAACTTCTATGACACTTCATTACATATGTTAATAACACGATTCTTTATTCGACAAGAAGCGTGCATAGGGACTGTTTGCGACGGTGTTTCAAGCGCCGTTGTAGCTCAGAGGTAAAGTACTGGGCTACCGAGCAAAGAATCCAAATTCGTATCCATTCCGTCCTTGGTATTTTATTTAGATGTAAAGCGTCTTATGGTCGAGCTCCATCTGGTGTGCGGCGGGACCATCCTTGAACAACCATCTGTAATTAAAGCTTTGTGAAACTTATTCAACACACATTACACTTCCCCGTGGTCATGCAAGGCACAATTTATACGGTATGTTATAAATACTATGGTAATTCCAAACCAAACGTGTGTCTAATTTCATTAAGAAGCACGAACATGTAACCAATTAGTGTGGAAGGCTTCAGTGCCGCCTTGGGTTGAACCCACTGCTAAACAATGGAGCCACACATTTCAGCTTTCACTCGTTAATCATTTGTTCAGAGTGCATGCGCTGCGATTTTTTTTTTCTTAGCGAACTTCGGCGACTGTTAGCGTA